GAGTTATGTGGTCTGACTTTGAGCTGCGAGCCTGAAGCCGAGTGTGGTATTCATTTAGGGAACACGGACGTAGATTAATGAAGACGAATTCTTTTATCGTGGTTTATGTACAGTTTTTTTTTATGCTGTTAGTGTGTAGAGATACGAGCAGAGTGAGGGTAATGGTATTAGAATTAGTCATTATTTTTTAATAGTTATAATGGTCATCGTAGTTGATGTCACGTGTTGGAAGAGGATCTGCTGTTGGCAGGGGAGGCCCAGGAGAGGGAAACTTCCCCTCCGACACCCCGCCCAGCCAACAACACCTCCTTGTTCCTCCTTGTGGGGCGCCCATCCCGCCCACGCCATCCTGACCTACTATTTTAACACTCATCTCTTCATGGGCGTCTCTGTGTGTGTGTTTATGCAATTCTCTGTTTGTTTTTAGTTTTTGTTCGCCAGAGTTTAGCTTTATGCCTCGACGCCTGAGACATATGAATGGGCAAATTTAATCAGTCAGCCATAACGGTTGCCAAGGCCGCTCTTACATCTCGATGGTTAACTGCACTAGCTAGAAATTCCCGAACCGTATTTTGTATCATGACTAATCTTTCCAATCATTTCCTTGTTCGCAGGTGAGTGTGATGCGCAGGAGGCCCGGATTGAGTGCCCCGTCGGCCGCTGTGAGGGAAGACGCTAAGTAAAAGGGAAATGCTGGTTTGAAATGGCTGTGGTATTAGTGAAAATTGTAGTGTTTTATGTTGTGCTGTTCGTGATATAGGTGATTTTATGTTGTGTTCATGATATTTATATATTTTTTTATGTTGTGTTCATGATATTTGTTGTTTTATGTTGTGCTGTTCATAATAGTTGCAGTTTTATGTTGTGATGTTCAAGAATGTGTAGTTATATATTATTTATTGTAGAAGTTTCTTTTAAGTTTCATAACGAATATGTAAGTGCTATTATTTATTTAAGTGTTAAAATACAAACGTTATAAATCTACCTCCTCCCTCGAGTCGTAGATAACATCAATGGAGGCGTGCAAGCGACCGTAGACTTCTGTCAGGATCCGCTTCATTCTCAAAAGTGAGGTTCGGTGTCAGATTAACGGGGTCGTAGAGCTCTGCCGTTTAAGCTCTCGGACAACTACGCTTTAGGCGAGACGGCATTCTTGCTACGGAAAATTTCATTGCGGATTTGTTTACTGTGGAAATGTGGTTTGCGCATTAGCATAAAAAAAGTTAGCGGGTCTGTAGCGCTGCAACAACGTGGCCTTAGCGCTAACCTTCAGATTCGGGTCAGGCGTTCGGAGTCCCGTCGGAGGTGCATTGACTCGTCGTCCTCTCCCGCTACGCGTCTCAGTAGGGAGTTTTGCTTTGCGACGCTGGGGCGGGTTGTTGTGATTCTGTCTTATCGCGTATCGTTGCTGGTTCGATGTCTTGCAGGATTATGGGGAAGAGGGAATGGCGCGTGGGATTCGTTGCAGTGACAAAAGTTGCAGGGGTTGGGTGTATCCCACTGCAGTTGCATGGAATTTGGAACTTTCCTGTTGATTAAGTAAGGGGGAATAATAGCGCTTAAGATTCATTTAAAGAAAAAAAAAAATAAAAAAAAATAATGCGATCATGTCTCGCCTAGATTTATCATATTGCAACAGAAGGGAAATTATCATTTACTTTATCATACTTTCAACTAAGATTTTCAATGCATTACGTCGGAAAAAAAACCGTGCGTTTCGTCTTGCAATGCCACGGCAGCCGGACGTTCTGACTGAGTTGGCATTTTGTACCCCCTCCCATCCCCCTACCCCCCTTCGGCTCTCTCGGACGCGCCGGGGACTAACCACACCCGCGGGGGAATAAAACACACGGTATCCGCACAATTAGCAGGTGAGACTGGTGAGGATCGCGAGGAATTTTCGGATGTTGTGTTGCCGGGGCCATAGAGGCGTGGGGGGGAGGGGGAGGGAGAGGGAGGGAAGGGAAGGGAAGTGAAGGGATCGGAGGGTAAGGGTAGAGGGAAGGGAGGGAGGGGGAAGGAGATCTTAGGGTAGGGGGTATAGAGAAGGGAGGGAGGGGAAGGGACCGGAGGATAGGGGCAAAGAGAAAGGAGGGAGAGGGTAGCAAAGAGAAGGGAGGGGAGAGGAGGGATCGGATGATAGAAAGAAAGGGAAGGGAAGGAAGGGGAGGGGCCTTAGGGTGGAAGCAAAGAGAAAGGGAGGGAGAGGGAGGGACAGAGAGAAGGGAGGGATAGGGAGGGGCAGAGAGAAGGGAGGAAAGGGAGGGACCGGAGGGTAGAAGCAAAGAGAAGGGAGGGAGAGGGAGGGCAGAGAGAAGGGAGGGAGAGGGAGGGGAAGAGAGAAAGGAGGAGAGGGAGGGGCCGGAGGGTAGAAGCAAAGAGAAAGGGGGGGAGAGGGAGGGGCAGAGAGAAGGAGGAGAGGGAGGGGCCGGAGGGTAGAAGCAAAGAGAAAGGGGGGAGAGGGAGGGGCAGAGAGAAGGGAGGGGTCTTATTGGTAAGTGCGGGATTTTCCGTGGGTATTTTTTGTCGTGTTCGTATTTTTTTTCGTTCTTTTTCTCTCGTTTTTTTTCGTTAAGTGGCTTGTCCTTCCACTTTTCCTTCGATTTGTTTTTCTTTTTAACAGGATATCCTTTCCTCATCCGCTCAATCTTTTGCTTGTTGCGTAAGCGTTTTTCTTCGGCATTCCCTACTTTGCATTCATGGTCATTCATTTTTGTTTTTTTTCCTCTTCCTTCTTCCACCTTCTTTCACTCTTCTTCGTTGTTATCTATCCTCCTCCTCCTCCTCCTCCTCCTCCTCCTCCTCCTCCTCCTCCTCCTCCTCTTCCTCCCCCCTCCCCATCTTCCCAATCTCCCCTAAGTGACGGAACGTGTCAGGAACGTGTCGATACGCGTCTGGCGTTCCGGAGGCCGTCGAAAGGAGGGAGAAGAAAAGGGAGACGAAAGCGGTCTAGCATGTAAGAAGGTCGATGTCGAGTGGTGGGGGGGGGGTGAGGGAAGGTTGCGTCAAGTAGACTCGTCGTAGATAGGTAAGGAATGGGCATAAGGGGGAATAGTTTTGGGTAAGTGCCATGGGTAAGAAAAGGAGTTTTGCCGACTGTTGGGTTTTGGGTAAATACGCGCGGAAGTTGAGGTAAGCGTCGACTTGAAGGTACTTGGAGGTAGGTAAGCACGGCAGGTGAAGCAACTATGATATTTTTTCTTTCTTCTTCTTTTTGTGCTTTCCTTCTTTCTTCTTCTTTTTCTTTTCTTTCTTTGTTCTTTTTCTTCCTCTTCTACTTTTCCTCGATCTTCTTCTCCATCTTCCTTTTTATTTTTCTTCTTCTTCTTCTTCTTCTTTCTTCTTCCCCATCTTCTTTTTTATTTTTCTTCTTCTTTCTTCTTCCTTCTTCTTCTTCTTCTTCTTCTTCTTTAAAGCGAAAATGCAAATGGGAGTTTGTCAGGCTTTGGTGACAGGTTGGCGATAATCATTTGACAATTAGCAAGCTGATGACAATAATTATTCAAGAAGTGAGAGGTTAGACATGACAAATTTTAGGAGTTGAAAAAAAAAAGAAAACACTCGAAATACAGCCAATCACAACCAGCCTTCCGAGTGCATTTTTTACCTCAGAATTTAAAAAAAATAGATAATGAATAGATAAAATAAAAAAAAAGTCTAAAATAGCATAGTTGTAAAAGGTTCAGCATAACGAGAAAACTGGGCCAGGTACGCGTGACAGGTGGTTCTTAACAGGGGAATTATGGAGGTAACACTTAAGGCGGGCAGATGGGGAGGCCGTAGGAGGGAGAGGGGAAAGAGGAGGAGGAGGAGGAGGAGAGGGAGGTAGGAAGGAGAAAGAGAGGGAGGAAGGAGGAGGAGAGGGAGGTAAGAAGGAGAAAGAGAAGTAGGAGAAGGAGAGGGAGGTAGGAAGGAGAAAGAGGAGGAGGGGGAGGAGAGGGAGGTAGGAAGGAGAAAGGAGGGAGGAGGAGGAGAAGAAGAAGAAGAAGAAGAAGAAGAAGAAGAAGAAGAAGAAGAAGAAGAAGAAGAAGAAGAAGAAGAAGAAGAAGAAGAAGAAGAAGAAGGAGAGGGAGGTAGGAAGGAGAAAAGGAAAAAGGAGGAGGAGGAGAGGGAGGTAGGAAGGAGAAAAGGAAAAAGGAGGAGGAGGAGAGGGAGGTAGGAAGGAGAAAGAGAAGTAGGAGGAGGGGAGGAAGGTAAGAAGGAGAAGGAGAGGGAGGTAGGAGGGAAAAGAGAAAGAGGAGGAGGAGAAGGAGAGGGAGGTAGGAAGGAGAAAAGGAAAAAGGAGGAGAAGGAGAGGGAGTTAGGAAGGAGAAAGAGAAGAAGGAGGAAGGGAGGAAGGTAGGAAGGAGAAGGAGAAAGAGAAGGAGAAGGAGAGGGAGGTAGGAAGGAGAGAGAGAGGGAGGAAGGAGAAGGAGAGGGAGGTAGGAAGGAGAAAGAGAAGAAGGAGGAGGAGAGGGAGGTAGGAAGAAGAAGGAGAGGGAGGTAGGAAAGAGAAGGAGAGGGGTGTAGGAAGGAGAAGGAGGAGGAGGTAGGAAGGAAAAGGAGAAGGAGAAGGAAGAAATGAGAAAAAAATAAGGAGGAAGGCAGGTGAAAGAGAAGAAAGAGGAAGGAAGGAGAAGTGGAAGGAAGCGAGGGGAAAGTGGACGATTGAGATGAATAAGCGG